GTGCTTCCCTAAGCCTGAACTCTAAGGAAGTAATGGCCTCCTTTGTCTCGTACTCGGCTCGCTGGCGTGCCTCCAACTCTTTCTGGACACTCTCAACTTCCTCAAGGGAGTACTCTTCAAGAGTTTTGAGATTTCTGTCTGTTCTGTTCAAGCGCTGGCCTATGATCTCAACGGCTTGCCTCGCCATTTCGACCCTTGCAATCCACTCCGGTCCGACAGTAACGTCCACAGACTCCTCGCCAGTGTCTACGTCACTTCCATCGACAATCTGGGGAGGGAGAGATGTTTGCCCTTCGCTTGGTGTAGGAACACCTGGTGGAGGAACGCTTGGGAGAAGTCCGGGCAGATTGGGTTCATTACCCGTCTGCTGCTTCTTCCCTTTCTTGTTCTTCTTCTGAACGTTGGTGGTGGTGCTAACGCCGCTACCGTCTCCTTCGTTCGTCATTCTCTTACGATGAACCTGCTTTGATACCAATTGTCACGGAATTTTAAATTCGGACAATACTCCGTGCGGCACTTGACGGTTTGCTCACGATTCTTTCACGTATCTCGCAAACTCAAGTAAGCCTTCTCACTATTTTGGATCGCTAAGAGAAATAGAAGGAAAGACAAAGACAAATTTTGGAAGAAAGACATGTATTCAAGTGTTGGTTGATAGATGTATTACAAATACAATGACTACCTATTTATACTACTCTAAACACTAAGAGTAAATAAATGCTACACTATATACAAGCCCCTAAGTTCATGCCCACAAGACATGCTTCTATGTCTTCCAAAAAGGGACTCCTAGCTGCACCCTAGTCTGCCCCACGTTCCAGAGGCCCTGCACAAGCCCCTCCAAGGCTGGAATCTGCCGACCCTTCACATGCTATAACTGTTGAAATGGCCGTAACTGATGAAACGGCTGTAACTGCTGAAACTGCCTGTAACGGCTGAAACTCCTGACCCTCTGTCTGCTGCCTGCTTGGACGCCTGCCCCTTTGCCTGCTGGCCGTTTTGGGTTGTCTGTCCCCCCTTGCACAGGCTGCTGGCTACTAGGCGGGTCACGATCTTCCTGGGTATCGGGCGGGTCGTGACATATAGCTCTACCGTCCACCTGTGCCTGCACCTCAAAGTAGATGTTTGTATGGAATTAGTACACGCTTTTACTAAGTATGGGTATATGCAAGCACACACCAGGGACATGCATGAGGAAGAATAGCTCTTTCCTAACAACATGATGTTTGGAAGTCAAGTCAGTGGACTTGCTAAATTGAGATTGGAAAAGTTATGCCATGAGGGTGACATGCATCATTATAATTATCGTATGGCACACAACACATAACATATTCATATAGCACATAACATATAACACATAGTTTCTTTCATATTATTCATTCATATACCATGAGACCTTATTATCATAGACTTAACCTTAAGACTTTCCAAAATGAGGGCTCAACATATGGGACCTCAACTAGGGATCCTTCTTTAGCAAACACAGAGTCTGCTTCATTCCTTCATACGTATTTCATTTCAATTCATTCATAGACCAGTGCGAACACCAGCTATACCTAGAATGTAGTTTAAGACTTTCATCGGGTTTGCCGTGCAATGATCAGGAATAACCTAATGTCATTACCTGAATCTAGCTCACCTCTTGATTATCCTATCCTAACACCTTCGGTATCATTCATTTCTTTATATGATTCATTTGAGGCTGGCCTCATTCATTCATTGGGAACTTTAACTTTAACCGACATAGATCATGTGAGCATCATGAAATCCAGTGTCTCCCCCACACCTAAAAGAGGTGGAATCACCGGTCAAAGCGATTCGATAATATGCTAGTGTATATGGGAATTTAACCCCGCCAGATCCCTATAGCGGCAATATAGGTTCAAAGACTAGGAGATGTATGGAAACCCATACCCGGCAAGCCGGACAGTCTCATCTCATGAGAGTTACGTGAACCTTCGCCTTTCCCGAAAGGAGGCATCACCGCTCATAGCTAGCCTATCGATGCTCGGTATAAAGTTCCATTACATTCAACTCATACATCATGGAAGTTGGCTTCTAGTATGAGGACATCATAGCTCAATAGATGATTTCTCATCTCATCATTAGTATTAAGTGTTTTAAACTCAATATTTTCATTAGAGTGTTCATAGAGACTGGTCTCTTTATTATCTTACACTCTCATTGGTGAGTACGTATTGGTAACATCTACTTGGGCTCATTTGAGATTGCTCTCATCATATACATTAACCTCACATCATGATTGTCACCACATTCTTCATTATTAGCACCTTTATTTTTCACAGTCACTCACCTCTTATTATGTAAATGTTCATTTCATTTCATTACGTATATATTAGGTTCACTTATTTTTGAGCGTATGTTAACCTTATGTGTCTATACATACAAGCCATGGGGCTTCATTTATAGTTCGTTAAGTGTTTCTTATTTTCCAAAGATTATGTATTACAAGACTTATGTATCTTGTATATATACCAATATCTTGATTTTTGGATCTAAGTATATGGCATTATTATTGAATATTTTACTCACGTATGACTTATGTATCAATACGGAGGTTTGGGCACGGAAACCCAAATCTTGAATTAGTTGGATATCGTTTATATTTTTCATTGATTTTATTTCTAATATTCATAACTTTATAACTCTAAATTAAATCTCAACATTTTCATGACATAATAATTTTTTTTATCTTAATTAGAATTCTAAATTAAATTTCAATCATTTACATGAAAGAATAATTTTCTATGTTAATTAGAATTCTAATTTAAATCTCAATATTTACATGAAAGAATTAATTTTTCACTTTAATTAGAATTTTAATTTAAATCTCATTTTTTAAAAAAAAAATTCACTTGAATAGGGAGGTTGTGGGTTCGAACCCCCACAGCCCCCCTTATTTTTCAGTGATTTTCGCTGGGGATGGAGGCTGTGAGGTGGTGGGTTCGAACCCCCACAGCCTCACCTTTATTCCCTTAATATTTTACTCCCCCTTCAGCTCTGAGGTCGTGGGTTCGATCCCCACGCCTCGTATCCCTTTTTTATTTTTTTTTGCGAACGGGGGTCGTGGGTTCGATCCCCGCCCCCAGCATTCCCTTTTTATTTTTTTTTCTTTTTCGCGAATGGGGGTCGTGGGTTCGATCCCAGCCCCCAACATTCCCTTTTTATTCTTTTTTTCTTCTTTTTTTCGCGAATGGGGGTCGTGGGTTCGATCCCCGCCCCCAGCATTTCCTTTTTATTCTTTTTTTTCTTTTTCGCAAATGGGGGTCGTGGGTTCGATCCACGCCCCCAGCATTCCCTTTTTATTCTTTTTTTTAAGGCAGCTGCAGGGAGGTCCTGGGTTCGATCCCTGCAGGCCTCAAATCTTTTTTTTTATTTCTTTGACATCCAAAAATTTCCAGATTCTTTTAAAGCCTATTTCTAAGTTCTAGAAATTTATTCCACGATTTTTCTGCACTTTTCAATCAAATTTCACATTAGTTCTTAGGGAGATTTCATGGTTCATTCAATTCACTATACTTCGTCAAAATGAACATCACATAAAATACATGATAAATACACAACCTATACACCTCAAAACAATGCCTAAAACGCTGCCCTATACACACCCATACATCAACTTTTCCGGTCATATTTTGATGATCATTATTGTGATTTCCCGCACATAAACACATTCATATTTAATTTAAACACAACATTCATGCAAAAAATCTAGCAGCACAACATACCCATCCTACAAATTCGTTAGGGAGCTAAGGACAGAGACATACGAAGGGGAACAACCTTAGTTTCAAGAGTATAAGAAACGTTCGAAAGAAAGTACTCTTGGAGAAAGAATTCCATTAGAGAAACCCATACCATTAATCGATGTTCAAACTTTGATGTTGCTGCCCGAAAAACTCCTCCAAACCACTCCCAATTCACTTCAACGTACACCTCTCTCGACGAACCTCTCTTAGCCTTGACGTTTTGATTATTTTTTCTTTTACTTAAAAATTTTTGTGAGTTCTTCAAGCGTGAAGAACTGTTGGTATTTGGCAGAATAACGTGAGAAAGATGGAGAACGTGAGAGAGAGAGTTAAGAAGCGTGAGAGAGAGATAACTATTAGGATTAGGAGACTAATTTAAGAATTAGTCAAATAGAATTTAAAATAAATAAATACAAATCTAATTTATTTTAATTAATACGCGAAAGGACCATTATGCCCTTAAATACCTATTTATTCTTATTTACTTAATTAATATATATATATATATATATATATATATATATATATATATATATATATATATATATTTATTTATTTATTTATTTTTGGATCGTTACACAAGCAACGATAGCACTAAAAAGCACCTTACAATCAATACCACCTTCTAGAAAGGGTGTAAAGTATAGAGAGGCCTCAACAAAATCAAGTAAAATAATTACAAGTCAGTTTTTATATGTATTATCCATACATATGAATTTTTCTGAACAACTTAATAATGTTTAATTAATGTCTCTATAATTTCCTTCTTGATCTGGACTGTTACTATATGCTATGTACATTTGTATGCTTAAATTTTTTTCACTATATTGACATTACTGATGATGAAAATTTAAAAAGGCGTTGACTTGAATTTTAAATTTAATTTAACACATTATAGTTATTATGATTTGAGCTTTTAAATTTATTTTTAAAAAATTAAAAGTGCTAAAAGAAATTTCTCTTATATTAGAAAAGGCTTGTTCAACATGCCTGTTTCATTGCTGTCAAGGGTATTTCTGTCTCTTCACTTGCCTATTAAAACTACGTGTCTTCCTCATGTACCATCAATTTACACCTCACTTTGTGTCTGTCTTCATCAACTCAGTGCATAGCAAGATTCTTCTTCAGCATTTCATCCAGGTATGACTCTTCCATGTTTTCATTGAGTTTTTTTTTAATCATCTTTCTTTTCCTCAAAATTGAAGTTTGACTATCAAATTTAGGTGTGTGAATATATCAAATTAGATCTAGGTGTGTGAAAATTTGCTTCTTTTTCCATGTTATTGATGTCCAATTTTCCTTGTGTTTTGGAAGTCCCAATAATTTTCATCTGTATGCGTTCAATTTTGGCTGGGTGATTATGATTTTCGTGTTTCATTTTGGATTTCTGTTTCAGATTTTTGTTGTGTTTTGTCACATGCAGTAATTAATTTGGGCTTTGAATTTTCTTTCTCAGAATTCTTTTGAACTTCCTCCGTTCATGTATGGGGTTTTCATCGGAATCAATTTCTTGGGTTTTTGTGTGTTTGGCTTGGAGTTTCTTCCTCTTATTGAATTGGCGTTTTCGTAGTTGATTTCGAGGATGCGGTTGAACATATTGTGCCCTCTCACATCTGGTAAAGCGATTTGAGAAGTAGTTAGCACCTCCCTTGAAAAGTCAAGTTTTTTTATTTATAGTAGTCTCTCTCAAATTTAAGGCAGGTAAAGCAGGTTAAATCTTTTCTCTTGCTATATTTGATAGTGTTAGTTGGAATATTGTTACTTGTGCGTTTTGACGTGGAGGACTTGTTATCCTTCTAAATCTATGATTTGTTCTTCTTTGTTTTATAGGCATAATTTGTGTTATAGTGTAAGTTACCGTTTGGGTTGAATGTTGTTAATTTGCTTTGTGGAATTTACAGAAAGTTGAATGTAAGGTCTCTTTTTAGTTAAATTTGACTATTGATTGATTTGATTCCACTCTGGAGTTTTATTCTCTCTATGTCCGTGTGATTTGGGGAGAAGGGTGATTACTTCCAAAGCTTTTGAAATTGATAAGCAAAATTTCCTATAAATAGCATGGGAGGACTAGCGCTTAGAGATCATCGAATAAATGGTATCTCAAATAAATACTGACACAGGGCCACTGCTTAGCGAAAATGTTTGTCAACTGATTTTGTGGAAACACAGAAAAAACTTGAAATGCCCATGGAAACCATGACATGTTATTAAACTGCTTTATTCCCTTATTGTTATGTAGGACAAGAGTGTGGTTACTATTTGTTGCTTGACACTCATATTTCCATTGCAGTGTTGAAAACCGAATATCTCTATTACCTTTTTGTCTACGCTTTTGCAAATTCACATGGTTACACAATAGTATCATATGTTGAAGTTGAACTATAACATATGTTATTTGATAGATACAAATTATTAAAAATACTATAGCATACAGTGTGAAGTTAAGGATTTGCAGTTATTACTATTAATGTTTCAACTACAAGTATGTTCTTCTCTACCTGTCATTGCGATTTCTTTTTCTCTCCTTCCTCCTTTTATCTACTTGATTAGTAGCGATCCAGTCACTCTGTTCTGCTCCGTTTTGATTAATAGGAAATTTGGGGGTGTTTGAGGAGTTTAAGGGTACAAAGTTGTTGTCTTGTTACTGATGAAAAGAAAGATCAGTAGAAAAAGAACTGGAATACGTCATAGACAAAATAAGAAACTATTAATAGCAGGTATAAGTTAAATTAGGATCTTACGCTCTTTTGTAAATATATCTCTCATAGTTATATCTGAAGTTAAATGAATTGGAATTTGTGACCAGGAGTATGTCCCTGTCTACATGGGAAGTTCAATAAAATATTTCCAATACATTGCTTACTTTTGCAATGTGGATTAGACATTTCTTGATTTTTTGATTGGTAGTAATTCCGTAAATCAAGTAACGATAGTATTATCACAACCTAATACATACTTTTAGCAAGTGTCTCATTCTGTTTTAGTGTCTCACTTCAAACAGTACACACACCCAAACTGATGCCAAAGTTCTTTCCATTTTTTGAGTAACCAATATGATAAAATATTCAGGTGCTGCAGCCTTAAGTATCATAGTTTAGTTTTGCCCAAAGTCATATGCGGCCACTCAAACTTGTCCCGATTATTCATTTAGACACCTGAACTAGGACTTATATCTATTGAACACCTAAATTATCAAGAAATGTGCCTATTAAACACAAAACGCTGATGTGGCAAAGTAAGTGTATCTCACTGCTGCTGAGCGCGTGAATGCATTTTTTTATTTTTTTTAAATATTTATACCTACTTTGTTGACACTTGGCATGCATTGACTAAATATATATAAAAAAATTAATTTAATTAAGCATCAATCTTTTAAATCATAAAAAAAAAAAACAAAAAAAACCCACACTCATCTTCCTTCAACCCACCATTTTAAAAACTTCAAATTTCTCTGCTTTTGTTATGATTTTTTTTTCATTTTTCGTAAACAAAACGTCTGCTGCATTTTCAAGAAGAAGAAAAACTGAAACATTTTGAGTTAAAAATTGACCAATATCTGTACTTTTTTATTTTCAATAACTCCAATTGAGCAACTATCACCATTCATAAACTTATTAGAAATGCTATAAAATATTTGATATAATTTTAATTTCTCTTTGTTGTCGATTTTAAAATAATTTATCAAGGTCGATTATATTTATAAAATCGGAATAGTCGTCAAAGGAATAACATATAATGAAGAAAATGAAAGAGAAAAATATTTGGTGGATGAATTCGAAATGAGATGGGGTTAGGCATTTTTTTTTTGTTATGAAGAGGAATGGTGATTATGGAACAAGAGAGAAGAAGAAAAGAATAAGATGAAGAAAAAAGGGCAGTAAGTTAGATGGGATGGGGTTAGGTGGGGTGAGGGTGAGGGTGAGGGGAAAGATTTTTTTTTAATTAATTTAATTTTTTATATATTATTAAAGGAAGGAAAATATTCTTTATTTTTTAAAATTAAATTAATGGGCCCATGTGCCACGTGTCGTAGTTCTATTCGTACTTTTTGTCAAGATAAAGAGCGTGCATTACACGCACAATATTTGTAAAGATAGTTGTTATTTTATGTTCAATAGATAAATACTTATTAATATTAAAGTGTCTAATAGGTAAGAGTCTCAGTTGAGGTGTCTAAATGAATTATGCGGACAACTTTAAGGGGCTATCGATGACTTAGGCCTTTAGTTTTCTTGAGGCTTGAGCTATTTCATTTGTTTTGCAACTGCTAACATGTTATTGATGTAATATATTGTTACATGTTATAATTTATTTATATCTTATATAATTATGGTTTGATGGGCCAAAAGAATTGGCTTTGATAAATTGTGATGTAGTGGAAAGAAAATTTAGATAGGTGTTGAGTTGGTTGCTTTTACATTTTATTTTAACTGTGATGTTCATCAAAGTAGTCACAGTGCATATATTAGTGTAGAAAGATAAAAGTAAAGCTAAAGTACATAATAACTCACTCTTGTCTTGGCCATTCAATTAGTAAAAAATTATGCACTTAAGTACAATATTAGTGTACAGTTAGTTGTTAAGAAGTAGTACGTGTACTATAGTAATAGGTTATGCCTAAATAATTCAATAGAACTTCCAGAGATGGGAGTAGCACAAAGAAATGAAGCAACTCAAAATGTGAAGAAGATTTTTTTCTTGTTCATTCTTTGAACTGTTTTGTTGAACGGGAATAAAAAATGTTTTGAAATCAACGTCTTTCTTGTTCACTCTTTTTATCGAGAATTTAACGTTGAACGGTTGAGACCAATACAACCCTTAAGTAAAGTAGTAAATTAGATTTAGACATTATCCGAAATTCACTGATAATAAGTTTAGCATTGTGAATTGACACAATTCTAAATAGCTTGTTCGACTTGTAACAATGATGGTCATAAACAAACAATCTTCTGTTAGAGCAGAACACGACAACACAAGTAATGAAATAAAAACCATGCTTTAAATATACCTAATCAATACATTGAATATCTAAAGCAGTAGATGCCCAAATAGAAATTATCCCTTGTATGTTCTTTGATAATGGAGGCTAGAGAATTCTGTGTTTCAATGATCTTTTTTTAAATAAAGTTAATCCTTTGTTGTTTCAAAAATTGAATCATTTGACCTTCATCACCTTGATCTTTCCTTGTATGATTTTTTTTTGGATTGATGCCAACTATGAATCTCACTTGTTTGTATGAAGCCCACAAAAGTTTGTCTCCACTAGATTCAAAAGCTTCTTTACTTTCTTTTGTTTAATGTTGTTACTCTTTTGCTTTCGGTGGGAAAAGTTTTTCCTCAAAATAGTTGTTTGGAAAATCATGGCAATGAAAGATTTACTTGATGCTTTTTAATTGGCTATCCCATGTTCTTGTGCCACTACTCTCTAGCAATTCAGAAATGTTATAGGCTTTAATTTAATGACCTTTTCATTTTTATCCCCAATTTTCTTCCATGTCTTCATAACATTATGAGAACAACCCTTTGTTGCCTTTTCATACTATCCCCAATTTTCTTCCATTTACTTTAGCTTTCGCTATTCAATAATCTCTGTCTTTGTGGGTCTCGCAGTGTTAAGGTTAGTGTTATCTCTTTGCTTGTATTTTGCGTTCTTTTGTTTGTGATGGTGTCAATTAGCTTTTTAATCTCTTCTCTGTTTGGTTTCTCAAATCATTAGTTTATTAATTGTACTAGAAGTAACAATAGTATTATCACAATATAATACATACTTTTGGTGAGTGTCTCATTCCGTTTTAGTGTCTCATTTCAAAGACCACACATACCCAAACTGATGCCATAGTTTTTTTTCTTTTGAGTAACCAATATGCTAAAATATTCAAGTGTTGCAACATTAAGTATCATAGTTTAGTTCTCTTAAGCTGCTTAGTTGGTTTTGCAATTGTTAACATATTATTGATGTAAGGAGTTGTAATAGGTTATAGATTACTTATATCTTATAATTATGATTGACTTAATGTATGTTGTATCAAGATGCAAATAGATGTCCTTTTATGTTTCTTTTGATGCACCAAAAAATTCCAGCTTGTATAGGAAATTGTGTGGAGGTGTTGTTACATAGTTGTTGTTCTAACAAAATATTTGTTTTGAACTGAATTTCACTTGCTTTGAGGGGACATCCTATTATTTTCAAGTCACTTTCCAAGAATATACTGCAAGTAAATGATGACTATGAAAATTGTTAGGTACTTAGATCTTGCATCACTTCCACATTTACTCCTCCCAATAACTACACACTAAATTCATTTTCCCTCTTATTTCACAGATACTTTTTGGTGCTAAAAACCAATCAAAATGCAACAGTCATAATGCAACATTTTGTTGAATATTGTACAATGTATATATCCATCAGTGCGGATACGCTTTGAACAAGAAAAAGTATACGATACGAGCGAGAAGAAAGATAGTGAATTAGATAGAGTTACCTACAGAAAGTCAGACAAACTATGGATCACACAAATGTTGTTTGCCTAAAGCACTGCTTCTATTCAACTACGAGTACAAATGAACTTTTTCTCAATTTAGTCATGGAATATGTTCCAGAAACTATGTATAGAGTGCTAAAGCATTATAGCAATATGAACCAGAGAATGCCACTCATCTATGTTAAGCTTTACACCTATCAAATGAGTGAAATGCTTTCCTGAGTGGTATTTTTTGTTTCCTTAGTTTGAACAATACAAAGTGGTATTATTGTTCCCTAAGCTTTGAGCCATACTAAGATTTAGACGTAGTCAGGTATTTAGAGGGCTGGCTTACATGCATACTCTTTCTGGCGTATGCCACAAGGACTTGAAGCCTCAGAATGTTTTGGTAATGCATCTTTCAAGCTGCTAATTTTGCATAGCAAATTATGGCTTTTTCCCCTTATGTCATTGTTTGCTGTCACAGGTAGACCCTCTAACTCACCAAGTAAAGATTTGCGATTTTGGAAGCGCGAAAGTACTGGTAAGTGTTAATCATAAGAGTTTCTGTGGCTATTATCATTTTCGTACTAAAGATTATGGATTTGATCCCTGTCTTCCTGAGATGTGTTCACTGTTTTTAATTCAAACTTGGTCAGTAATAATTCTGACTTAGTAGGCGGGTCTTTTGGCCTAATTTTTTTTATTAATGTTTGTGTCAACTGTAAATTGATCCTTTCTAGATGTCCAGGATATTTTGACTTCTTCGTACATTTGTTCTTGAATACCAGATAACACATGTAGTTAAATACTTATTGTTGAAATATTTCTGAGGCCATGGTAATTCTCTTAGGATAAGATCCTGTTAGCCATGATTTTGTGATTGGTCAGATTCTGTAGTCACCTGTTTATTGATCTTGTTGTCGCTTTCAGGTGTTGTGTTTAATGTAAGTTGAGTCTGACCATGTTGGAGTTAGATGATGTTTGCTATTTAACCATGGTGCAGTTCTATAATTCTATGTTACCTCCCTTAGCATACTTTCTCAAAAAAAGTTACCTCCCTTAGCATATCCCATGAACTGAAAAATTCATAATGTAATTTTTTTCTTTTTTCTTGGGAGGACAGATATGTGAAAATTTATAATCACGCCATGAATACCTTTGATGGGATTTTCACCTTTTCAGTGACTTTAAATAAGAAAGCAATAGGTTTCCACTTTCCATGACTGTGAATTCATTATCTTAATTTTGACTATTGCAAGCTTATGGTGTAGACTATGTCATTTCAAAAAAGCTTCCTTTGTGTGAGAATTACTCGATTTTAAGGTTGTAGTTGGTTCTTATATTTATGGAAGTACCATATATTTTCAGGTTAAAGGAGAAGCAAACATCTCATACATCTGCTCGCGGTTTTATCGGGCTCCTGAACTCATATTTGGTGCAACAGAGTATACTACTTCAATTGATATCTGGTCAGCTGGCTGTGTCCTTGCTGAGCTTCTTCTTGTGGTGATCTAGAATCTTATAGCTTACGTACTGTCCATGGAATCTCTGCGGACTTTTTTGGTGCACTTTTCCAGTTTCTAACCAATTTTTGTAATCTTCTTGCAGCCATTGTTCCCTAGAGAAAATGCTGTGGACCAACTTGTTGAGATAATCAAGGTGCTGTGTGATAAATTCTTGTTTACTGATGCAAATATTGTAGCAGGTTTGCAGTGATCTAGACTTCTATAGCTTACTGATTCTTGTGTCATTTGCTTCATTTTATAGGTACTTGGAACACCGACAAGGGAGGAAATTCGTTGTATGAATCCAAACTATACTGATTTTAGGTTTCCACAAATCAAAGCACACCCTTGGCATAAGGTATGTTTTCACTTGACTTTAGTCGTACCTCGTGGACCAACAATTTGTTGTCTTGCTGCTCGCTGTGTGTATCATTCCTGTTGAATTTTGTACTGAGAGTTTATTTTCATTATTTTCTCTTTTCTTTGTAATTTTATTATCAAATATCTTAATTAATTGCTAAAGTAGTGACTCTATTGTTTGTGGTAAGAATATTGTTCTCAATAGATAAGCATAATTTATAAACATGTCTAGAAATTAGGGTCTGAACTTTTGTAAATCTTGTTCTATAGATTTGGGTGTCGTAAAAATTGAAGTTATGCAGATATGTTTCATTTTTTTCATGAAAGAAAACCTTTTAAGCCAAAAATGTCTTTCTGCTTTGGGATAAACATGTCTGCACCAGTATAGTACTTTCTCTTCACTCATTTCTTTCTGAATTTTTTAAATTTATTGCCTCCATTTTAATTGTTTGTCTTAGTTTGACTTGACACGACACATAACTTTTAAATCTTGTAGTCACAAACTAAAGATGTGTATAATGCACCTAACATGTCTGACAGAATGTTGGACATAAGAATTGCTAAATAGAAAAAAGTGATTATTTTTTAAGCAAACTAAAAGAAAATAAAATAAATAAATTGAAAAGGAAGTAAAAAATTAGCTAGACTTAAAAACTAGGATAAGCAGGGGATATATCTAAATATATGTCATGTGTGAATCCTTTGTCATGTTGAGCTTCACTGATCCTTTATGGCTTTTGTATATTTTGATAGTATGAATTGTTTTCCTCTATAACACTAACCAAAAGAGCTTTATTTATTATTTATCATATAGTTTTTTCATGTCATCATGATGTTTCATCAGATTTTGCTCTACTGTAAATTTCACTTGTAATAGTAAAGGGTGCCTTCTCTTGTTTTGTCTGCATACTGTTTGGATGGTTGGTATATATTGTTCAGCATACTGGTTGATTTACCATAAGCCACACTATCAAACCATATGTATAAAGCTGCAACACAGAGGTTATTATTTTGTTGTGTTCATTGATATGTAGGATATGAAAATAATTTTCTGAATCGCTATATGGTTATCTAAGATATTTCTTTTTCATACTTCCCTACAGAGACACAAACATTTGCTAACATATTCATGAAATATCAAAGTTAGCTTCACCCTTTTTTTCTTTTTAAGTAACTAGTTAGCATTATTATGAAGCTAAGAACCTCCTGCAAATGGATGTTTCTCAAGTCACAGAAAATTATACTACACTATTCGAATGGAATTCAAAGGCTGAAGATGGATTTGAATAAAGTGTTATACCCCAAAGCAAGATTTTCAGTTCCAAGCACGAATTTGAATTAGTCAAACTACTAATCAGAGACCACACAACGTTCACCAAGTGAGAAACCAAAACCAAATTGTCTAAACTTCCATTTTGGATCACAACCTGAAAGTTTTTTCTCCTTTTTTTAGTCCACATAGCAAGTCTACCTTTCTCACACAAAAGAATCATTTTATCTTAACTCCCCATAATTGAGTTTAATACCAGGTGAATATTTTGAATATAAATTAATAGCCTCCTACTTAGGTCTCATTTTAGTTGATGTATTTCATTAGATCATTTCACTGATTACAAGGAAAAGCATGTGTAATAAGACAAGGTAAAAAAAACATTATAGGCAGAGCCCCTATAAAGAAATATTGAACACCCTTTAGATCACTCCCTAAATTATGCAGCTATCTAATAAAGAACCTTTCATCAGAACAGCAAGTGATAAAGAAGGAAATACTCACTTCTAAAGCTGAAAAAAGGGTTCTTTTTCAACATTTAAGTAAGGTGAAAAACTTAAACCCCCCCTCCCCCCCTCCTCCCACCTTCTCACTCAAAAGTTCTCAAAAAATGTTAATTTGGCCCACAAGAAAAGCAGCAAAGAAGAAACATAAGCAAGTACAATTCTCCTACATTTTTAAACGCCCACCCCTAATTCAAGGCAGACATGTGAATACCAAAAGGTCCAAATGTTGCAGCTTTAGACAAGGCTCATTTGTCGATTTCTGTAATTGACATATGTCAGGAACTTCTAAGTTTATCAACCAGTCTGTACAAACTCTTTCAAATCGCTTCCTATAAACAGAAAAATACTCGAATGTAGTAGACCGTCTAAACTACCTCACAAAGGACTCGTGCATAGCATGATCTGTCAATATAGTTCTGCTTTTATCATCTTTTGTTAGTTTATGGTGCTGAATTATTTTCTTTCAGCTAGCTCTTCTGCTGCGTATTTTGTTCCCGTATTGACTTCTCAATTATTGTTTGTTTTGGATTCAACAGTTCAATTGTTTTGGTAGTATGAGTGTATAATTTTTAAATTACTATTGATGCAAAATATTGATCGGAAAAAAATTCATACAGCAACTCAACTAGGTGATCTGTAATCTGTATTATTGTGTACGAAGGACTTGTGTTACTTGTGTACAAAGACCCTTCTACATTTACTAAATATTTGAGATTTCATCACTTGAATTAGGCTACTTTGTGCTCTTTTATTTTTGAGGTTTCCTTAATTATATATGAACTAAGTATTCAACTTTGAACCAAAATATTTCTCTCTTTTTTCACAGGTACTTTTTGTTAGGGTGATAAGCGATAAAAATGTACCACTACATAAATGATACACATTCAATGCAAATAAATTAACCAGGAACTTATTTTATGCATTTAGCTCAAAAAATTTGTTTAATGTTGGGCCCGTACTTGTACGGGCCATCTCTACCTAGTAATAATAGAAGTACAAAATAATTATCTAATGAAAACGTTAAATCAAATAAAAATACTTGATTCTTTTTCAAATACACATATTGTCTATATAATAATGTTAATAGTCCGTGTAACTATTGTCTCAACCAAAAAAAGGTCTTTCAAAACTAAAATTGATTAAATCTTATTTAAGATCAACAATTTCTCAAGAGAAATAGAGTGAATTAGCTATATTATATTCAATTGAAAACGAATTAGTAAAACAAATCAATTAAATAAAATACTAACCAATGATTTCACATCTAAAAAAATATTTTTTTAATATAAAAATATTAAAACCTTTCTCTTGAATTTCGCTTCAGACCCACAATCTTGAGTCGATCCGTCCGCCTAATGTGCTGAGATATTTCATCAACCTTATATAAATTCTATGAACCCTCTAACCCACAAAGAAACCTTCTTCTCAGATAATTGCCATAACAACTTAAATAAGAGGTTATGAAAAAAGAATTTGAACGTCATGTTTGCTTTTCCAACCAAGAATATATATATATATATATATATATTTAAAAAAAAACAAGAATATTTATATAATTTACATTTTTTTTAAAAAAAATGTGTATGCTTTTTAGTAAACAATATTATTAATGAACTACTCAATGTAATACAAAATTTAATATATACTTAATCTTACAAGACAATGATGGGTCAAGTAACTTGTGCGAAAACCCGGCCTTAGTTTGTTGACCATGTAGGCCCAAGCCCATCTATTTGTTGTGACGTAAGCCCAAACGTAAGCCCAAACAATTTCTAAGCCTAATACAACTCCTATTTAAGGTTTAGGGCATTTCTCTTCCTTGTTTCTATATAGACAATTGTTAAGCCGCAGATCAATTGCAGTGACGCCCCAATTGAATAGCTATGGGGAGAAGTAAGTTGCTTAGCTTAAATCCTTATTTATCAAATTTAATTTGTATTATTATAATGTATTGTTCCTCAGATCTGGAAAAAAAATTGAGCTTTTTACGCCATTGACGGATTCATTGGTATTTATATGATTGGATTTGTGTACCATGATTTATGTGAATATTGTTTTTTTTTAAAAAAAAAAAGTTTGCTGCGTGAAGTCCTGTATAATTATTATGCGAATGTGGTGTTTATTTGACATCGAGTAGTTTTGTTATATGTTTGTTTGTTAGTGTATTTGATTGTAAAACTAGTTTGTTTGGAATTTGGATTATTTAATTGATTCTGTTAGATTTTTCTAGCTCTTAAATGTTTGGAATCAGCTCTTAAATGTTTGGAATTTGCCGTTCTATGTTAAGCTAATGGATTTGAGCTAATACATTAAAAATGATACCTGTCCTGGTAAAACGGGTAGCTTCAAGATTGAAGTATGTGGCATTTTCTGTAGTATTTTAGGCACATTTGCTCGCGAATCTAGTTTTTTTGTTACCAACCAAGATACAAAGGATAAACATTGTCTTTGTAAGAATATTATTTGCTTGGAAAATGGAAGGAAGAGTTCCTCGTTTTGTGTCAGCGAAACATCTTTTCTTTATGTGTATGAGAATGGAAGTACTTACTAAAATTACGTATGAATTATGACTTGATAAGTTGTTTATGGTTTATCTAAGATAGGTGACGAGTAGAATTGTTAATATGTGTATGGAAAAGCATATTCGAGTTCTTGCACCACTAGTTGTATCCTGCTTAAGTTCCAGTCATGACATAGCTAGTCTAAGCATATGTTGTATTGTAATGATTTTTTATATTGCGCTCTGAGTCATTGTGTTTGTCTTCCCTAGCTCATTTTCATCTTTATGCCTTTGGTGTAATGGTTTGAATTATTTTTGACAGGACCTGCAAGATGTTATCGTCAGATTAAGAACAAGCCTTACCCAAAATCAAGGTTTTGCCGTGGTGTCCCTGATCCAAAGATCAGGATTTATGACGTGGGCATGAAGAAAAAGGGAGTTGATGAGTTCCCTTTCTGTGTGCATTTGGTCAGTTGGGAGAAGGAGAATGTCTCAAGTGAGGCACTTGAAGCTGCCCGTATTGCTTGCAACAAGTACATGACCAAGTCTGCCGGGAAAGATGCTTTTCACCTAAGGGTCAGGGTTCATCCATTCCATGTTTTGAGAATTAACAAGATGTTGTCGTGTGCTGGAGCTGATAGACTCCAAACTGGTATGAGGGGAGCTTTTGGTAAGCCCCAGGGTGTTTGTGCTCGTGTTGCAATTGGTCAGGTTCTTCTATCTGTTCGCTGCAAAGATGGAAACAGTAACCATGCTCAAGAGGCTCTCCGCCGTGCCAAATTCAAGTTTCCTGGACGTCAAAAGATCATTGTGAGCAGAAAGTGGTATGTATTCTATCAGAAGTTTCACTTTGTATTTTATGCTACTGATTTGTATGAGAACTTTGTACTTTTTCTATTAAAGGATTATCCTGCTGTGTAAAAAGTGCTTTTTTTCATTTAATTAGTTATTTTGTTTGTGAAGATTTTTTTATTCTAAAAGAACACCCTACAGTAAATTACACAAGTTTCTTCCTTCCAATGCCAGAAGTTGTCTTATTTCACTACGGAAAAATGAACTCTGGGCTTGTTTTCCATCCGAGACTCCTAAAGTTTCATGATATCTTGTTTTTTTTTTGTCTTCTCATTCCGCAATCTAGCCTACCCATTGAGGCTATCTTTGGTCATGCATTATTTTCGTTGTTTTAGATAGTTAGAAACTTGTCCTTGAATCTCACGTGTGCTACTTCAATTCAGGGGATTCACCAAGTTCAGCCGAACTGATTATCTGAAATACAAGTCAGAGAACCGTATTCTACCAGATGGTGTGAATGCAAAGGTTTGTCTATTCATATCCTTCTTTTTGCTTTGCTCGGCCTGTAGCTATTTGTAATTTTTGGTTGTGACAACTTCTTGTGTGGTGTTTTGCTTGTGCAGCTTCTTGGCAACCATGGTCGACTTGCTGCACGTCAACCTGGAAGGGCCTTCCTTACATCTGCTTAGGAAATTGAAGTGTCATAATCTTCTCAGAAATAGCACATTTAGTTTTCTAGTCTGTTGAATGGAACTTTGTTACTTGAATTTCTGTCTTTGCATGAACTTGATCAGTATCCAATTGAACAATTTTGAAATTATAATGTTCTGTATTTGAAATTTCTTGTATGATTAAGAGCTCGTATGTTTTGATGAATTGATACATAGTGACAGGTTGTAATAACATTCTTTAGTACCCCCTGCAACTAATTATTTCCGAGTATTTGGCTAGTATAACTGGAAACAAACCTATTTGTGGTGAAGACGTCCACTCCTGAGGATCTAGTTTGGTAAAATTAGTACGGAGAAGAGTTTCTTACTTTAACTGATATTTTTAGAAATATTACTCCCTCCGTTCCTTTTTATTGTCCTCGTTTTACTTTTTAAGAATGAATGTTTTCTATAGAGAGAGTGCATCCGATTTAAACAGCAAAATGGTAAGTTAAAGACACTCGTCAAGTTTTGGCTGAGTTTGTTGTGCTCCTACTACCTCTTGGCAAGCTCCTCCAGTTGCAATTTTGTAATCATAAACTTAAGAACAAGTACGTGATTATTGTCCTTTGTCCTTTAATTTATCCCTATTTTAGAAGTTGTACAATTCTAATCCTCAAGATTTATAAAACATTAATTAATTGTCAAACGCACAGTAAAACTTTGGATTAAGGTTTTAAACACTATAATTATTTGAGGTACCACAGATATTTTACTTTGACCATTATTTTAAATTATAAACTATGTTACTTATAAGATTATATGAACTTTTCAAATATTCCAACTTTAATTTATAGCCCATCCTTTTGACATCATAAATCTACCTCATCTTTTGTAGCTTCTATGGTGCACGTATGGATCAGTGCATTAGTAAATCGACGTAAAACATAAGAAGGCTATCTAAAAACAGACTTTATATTATTTTATGTCAGTAGTGCTTCTTGCACCTTCTGGTGAATGTAATAGACAATGGTAAATGAAAAGGAGTAATGAACAGTAAGTCAAAAACCGAATGAAAATGTACTACTGCAAAGCTTATATATGAGATTAGCCATCCCACAGAATGCGGCATTAAAATGACTGAGAGTCTACAGACACACCCCTTCGAATGCGATACTTAAGCAGCTTAAATGGATAATTAGACTGCTCACGCTGCACTTTCTGAACGAACAAATAATGGAATCTAGAACGGTACAAACCAGCAGACGTTTGACAAACCAGCAGTACCATTAAAAACATATTAAAAAGAATTTTCATATTGAGTGTACAAGGTCAACCTCTAAAAATATTAGCTCATCTACTTTTACAGATCACTTATAGAACTCGAAGTCAGTGTCCGGCTTCTTCACATTGGTCCTGTAACCCTTTTCAAAGTCCTTGGGGAGTATGACATATCGATTCTTTCGCACTGCATGCATACCTGCTTCCTGACATATAGCTGCAATCTGTAGACATTGCAACATGTGCATCACAGTCGTGTTGGTCAAATTGACTCTTCAATTATAAAGATCATTCACATTTTAAAAATAGAAGGACCAAAGCAGATGAAGCAAAATAAAGAACTACTCTTAGTTGTAACAGTAGACATCAACATTTTGAATCAATAGTGAAGAATCCTGTTATCAGTCGAAAAAATAGATGAAGTATAAAGAGACAAACCTCAGCAGCACTAATTTTATCAGGGCGAGAAACATAATCTTCCAAGTCAACCTCGTCACCTAGGTTCATCTTAGCAGTACAGACCTGGCCAAAATCATCCAACTTTCAGATTTGAGGTTCATTGCGAAAAAATTGGAAATACTGGTACAATATAACATAATGAGTGAGAGGCAGAATTCAGAAGCCAATCTATCATAACTTCCTTCAATATTATTCCAATCTTAATTTCTTTATGTTTGCTAATGGGAAATAGGGTTGAAGAAGGTCCTGAGGCAAAATCTTCCAAATTCTACCTGAAAAACAAGCCTCTTTTGACGCCTATCAGGCAAAGGAAATTCAATCTTCCGATCAAGCCTTCCAGGACGCAGAAGTGCAGGGTCCAAAGTATCAGCTCTGTTAGTTGCCATGATAACTTTCACATTCACTGTCTGGTCAAATCCGTCCATCTGCATAAGACATACCAAAAGGAAACCTCGTGAACAATGCAAAAACTGTAAATTCTTATGGGATTACTTCAGGAATTTGTAGAAGCCTACCTGATTAAGCAACTCCATCAAGATACGCTGGACCTCCCTATCAGCTCCAGTTTGAGCATCAAACCTCGCAGTGGCAATTGCATCTACCTCATCAATAAATATAATGGCAGGAGCATTTTCTTTGGCAAGACGGAACACATCACGAACCATTCGTGGACCCTGAACAGTCAGATAATAAAAGGTGAAAGTTAACTTTGAGCAATAGAAACAAATGCAGTCTTGCCATCATTTTTTGGACAAACTTGACCAGTCCTAACTAAGAAATAAAAGATATCTCCAGACAAACAAGTTTGGCTCCGAGAATTGCAATTTGAACTGAAGTTGCATCTTAGATAAAAGAGTTGTGGAGAACATGCAGCAACAAGAAAGATGGTTTGTCTTAAACTTCTCAAAAAGAAAAAAAGGCTTAATGGCTTCTCGGTTAACTACTAAGTATCGACGAGTAGTTCTCCTATATGGCTTTCTAATTTTAAGGATGGATCGTGCACATTATGTTGACCAGTCAACACAACGGAAATAGGAGATTCTGTGTTCTGTATCTTTACTGATCAATATCTTTCTTGTCGAGGTATTTACTGATGTAGATTCGTAGGGTCTTCTTTGACAATGTCTATAAGATGCAAGAGGAGTTTAAACGAGTATCCAGCTCGGTGCCAGATGTGTGAACAAAAGTTTGGAGTTCCTGCAGAAGAATGCAATGCTATACGCAGTATTCATGGTATTACTCAGGGTTATCCATCTTTTTGGTACTTTCAGTTGCACCTTTGCTAAAAAGTCTTATTACAGTGACAAGTTGGAACTGTGGTAGTAGCCTAACATAGTGAGACACAAACAGAGGCAATAAGCCATACGATGAAATTAAAGAAATTGAAAAGGTTTTGAGACAATGGGCAATCTTTACCACGATTCACGAGAGGTCTCGAGTCAAACCCTATGGAACTATAGTAGAGAAAAATTCCAGCCTCTAAACAAGAGAATGCAGATAGCAGTGAGTGTGTTATTTTTAGTTTTCATGGTGCCTTCTAGCAATGTTTCCATTCCGTTTACAACCATCAAATTTCCAACAATTGGCTCCACATGTTCACCCAACAAAGATAAAGAATTCAGCGTTCAATTATACTTTCATGGAAATGCAAATTTAAACAAAGACATTTGATGTAGCGGGAGAGGGTATATTTTCTAATGGTGCTTTTTAGCTTCTAAATCAGTAATTTTCTTTTAATAAGGTAAAATGTAATCTTTAATTAATTTTTTACACAAATTAATAGCCTAATCTTTGATGTCGATAAAAAAAAAAGTGAATTACAGCAAATAGAATTATATCATACAGTTTGCGGTAGAAGTAATATTCATTAATTAATAATTACCTTATTATTGCACAAACAATAGCTACTAATGATGAAATTAAAAAATAAAAGAAACTGAGATAATACACCAATTCCTTTTATCTTCCAAATTTCTTTCTATACAATAGAAAGGAAGACCTCAAAAAAAGAAATTGCATTTCAAACAACGCTGTGCAAATAGTCTGAATCATCAACAATAGGTGTGATTAGTACGTAGTAACAACACATTGATGCATAACAAAAAATGCTCATGGTATTTCATTACTTCAATGCATACCTCACCCAAGTACTTCTGAACAAATTCTGAGCCAACCACCCTTATGAAGGCAGCAGTAGTGTGATGAGCAACAGCCTTTGCAAGCATAGTTTTCCCAGTACCTGGTGGACCATAAAGCAAGACACCACGGGGAGGGTCTATACCAATCTGCTTGTACAACTCATGATGAGTCAAAGGTAACTCAACAGCCTCACGAATTTCCTGCTTTTGAATGTCACATCCTCCAATATCCTGGTGTGAGGAAAAAACGAGATTAAGATAAAGTAAGAATATAAAGGAAGGCACATTAACAGCCCTATATATATCAGACGTCCACTTGCTTGCCTGTAGCTGTAATGTGACGCATATACAAGCTTATATAAAAGGCATTTATATTAGGATAAGAACATAATGCCTTTTCCTCATTAGTGTTCTGACTTCTGATTATAGAATTAGATGCATTCTTTACTAATACCCAGTACCTCACTAATGTTTCACGATTTTGAAGAAAAATAATGGAGAGTAGTCTACGAGTTGTGCACTCCACACCCATGTTCCTTTTATGAATAGATAAGTGGATTCAGATCACCAAATTGTGATTCGTCAGTTAATTACAAAATCAGTTCAATCATTTGCAAACCTATTTCCTACTTCCCCACAATACAACAAGGGCTGCATACCAAAAGTAAACCACAATATCCATATTCATCCAGGATACAACATTTATGGAGCACCGGATATCCAAAGACACCAATAACCACACTTTGTTATCCTGATTCTTCTGAGAACATGTCATGCTTGTTGTATCACCCGTTTTTCTAGCCACAATTTTAAGGCAACATATGCTTCCTTCTGCAACCAGTGAACAAGATTTTCCAATTTCCTTCTCACTTGATGTGGTTGATAGAAGTGCTGCACACATTACAACTACTCTAAGGACTAGAGTATAGGTACTAATTGCCACTTAGCTGCCTTTTAGAAGCCAATAATAGGATTTTGAATAAGGCCAGGGGAAAGTGATGGCTGCAGGTGTACTTATCTTTCACGGAGAGGCTGATAGGAACAGAGGTTAAATAAGAATATATAGCGCAATGTGATTGTATGAGTATGCGACCACTGAATTGATTGATTAGAGAGAAATAATCTCCCCAATGAGTTCATATGATTTTTAAAAAGGAGTTTCTTCTCTTGGTTTTAAAATTACTATTGAAAATATTGTCATTCTGTCACAAAACGTGTTCAGAAATCTAGGATAACCATATAAGAAGAAATGAGGCATTCTAACATTACATTGAGACTTGAAAGCAGCATTCACCTTCTAATTTAACTCGCTAAATAATTAGGATTATATACAAGCACTTTGCTTCCTAATCTACGTAAGTTCTTGGTGGTGACACCTTGACTAATTAATCTTCATT